CCCAGGGCGGAGGGAGGTAAATTTAGCCTCAGGAAGCTCTGGGGAACATTTTCCAAAACTCCACGTCCCAGGGAGGGCAAAGCAGAACCCCTCTGCTCCCCGCCTCCAGCCGCTAGGCGTCGCAGGTCTGCCCGCGCCCCAAACCCGGCTCGGAGTTGGGGGGCTCCGCCGAAAAGCGCAGGCTACTGAGCCTGCCAAGGGCGCATGGACGGAGAAACGGCTGCGACCCCGACCGAGCCTGGGGCTGACGCTGGTCTAGGGAGTCTCAGCTGGTAGTCACTGAGGATGGGGGTGGGATCCCTGGCCACCTAGGGGGAAATAACACACAAGGGCCATGCCAGGAGGGATGCAAACGGGAACCTGGCCTTCCACATGGAGAGGCGTGGTGCTGGTCTTGTGCTCTGGCCACCCCTCTCCCCCCCACTCCCGCCTCGGCGTTGCTGGAAAACATAGGTTTCTCCCAAGATTACTACTATAATATCCAATTAATTGTGCGCTGGGACCCTGCCCTGCTGCACAGCTTGGGGCCCAAACTCCACTTAATCCTCAGGGGAACCTGGGATACTAACTCCCACCTGTCCACCTAGTCCCCATCCCCATTCCTATTTAACCCCACCCCTTGTGGCCACCAGAGGGCTCCCAGGGGAAGAGGGGTAGGTGAGGTTTTACCCGCCCCTTGGCACCCCGCTTTCCCACCTCGTGCACCTCCTCCCCAAGGTTCCCCTACACCACACAAAATCTGAGCATGCTCTAGGTGGGAAGAGAACCCGGCAGGAGAGACTGCCTGCTCATCTCTACCTTCTGGAGGAGCGGGCTGTGCATCAGAGAAGGTGGTTGAAGGCCTCATCTGGATTATTAGATGAAAGGGGCAGAGCTAGACTCCCGGATGAGCTGGGCGTCTAGAATGAGGGAGAAGGGCTGAAGGGAGAAGACAGATGGCATGGAACTGAAATAGCGCCCATCCAGAAGAGGGGAAAAGCCCTGTCTTTGAGCTCACTCAGCCTGGAGTCAGTCTCACACATTTACTGATGTTCCTCCAATGAGGCTTCCTAAACCCTAAATCCTGTGCTCCCATTGTAATCCCATCTAGGAATGGGTTACTTTATTATGTAAATGAGGCAGGATTAGGGTAGGTTACATTTTGAGTCAATCTTTGCTGAGATATAAAAGAGATTAAACTGGTAAATGCCAAGTTGATGGTCTGAAATGTAAACCACCACCTAATACACAATAAAAAAATTGCTTTTAAAGCCATTCAAACAGGCACCTTTGAAGTAGCAAGCAATTGAATTCTTCATTTTCAATTCAAAGTTGTCCAAACAAAAGATTAACCCATCAGGCAGAGGGAAGGTTCTCTCTCTCTCTTCCAAGGAACTAAGAAGCAGAAGCAAAGCCCAGGCCCTTCAGAGCCACCACAGGGAGCAGAGTGAGTCTTCCTCTGAGAGGTAGCACCCTGAATTTGGGCTCCTAGCCTCCAAAACGGAGAGAAAAATAAACGTTTGTTAAGGCCACCTATTTGTGGTATTTCTGGACACCAGCACTAGAGAAACGAGACAGTCCCTTACTGACTGCTGTGGGGCAGAGTCAGGGCACCTCTCTGGGATGGGGCCTTTACATCACCATGGGATAGGCTCCCTTGTTCTGCCGACTTTTGTGAGGCTCAAAGCCCTTTGTGTGGTGAAAGGACTCTCAGGGTGCTGTGTGAGCTGACTTCATTCTTCCTGCCTGCTTCTCCTGGATCTTGCCACTTTCAAGCCTTTTTGTCCAGCTCCGGTACTTTCCTCGGGCCACTGCGTGCCTGCTCCCCCCACCCCGTCCAGGCTCCTGCCCCCATCCTCACCGCAGGCCACAGGCCACAGGCTTGTGCTCTGCCTTCCTCCACCCACCACTTCCCCAGTGGTCTCTGCCAGACATCCCCTCCCTACACCCATCCTTGGCAAAGGCCCCTCTGACCAGACTGCAGGACCTATCTCCTTTGGTGGGAGTGGACCCTAAAAAAAGGAAAGGAGGCAGGATGCCTGAGCTTGGTCCAGGCGGGCCTGGAAGCTCTGGGGGAACGAGCCCCAGATTCAGATGGTGGATGTAGCCTGCGGCTATCCCACCACTAACCTCCTCTCTCTGGCTGCCTTCCAGACCCTCCCCATCTGACTCCTGTGCCTGGGGTTGGGTTGAGAGCTCTGAAAAGGGTCAGGCCAGGGTGCTGACTTGGACTTTGTGGATGCCTAAGGGGCCTGGAGTCCTTGGGAGTACTATGCAGCCATGAAAAGAACAAGGAGCCTAGATGTACTGACAGAGCACAAGGTCCATCACGGGGCAGAACACGGCGGGTGCCCCGTGCTCCCAACTCTGAAGAGTGCATGTGTCTGGATGTCATCGTCTCCACACAGCGACGGCTGTGACCCTGGCTGCTGCCACTGACATCTCTGGCCTGAATTGGCCCCCCATTACCTCCTAACAGGGACCTTTTAAACCGAAGAAGACTGTTCTCAAAAGCCCTCATGCCACTGAAGGCCTCTGTGGCCAGCCTCCCTGCCATCACATCTGTCCCAGCTGCCTCACTGCTGTGTTTGTATGTGTTTGTGTGTGTGTGCATGTGTAGTTTGCTTCTGCCTCCAGCTATGTGAGCTCCAGTTTGCAGGGATCTGTTCCATCCCTTGTTGGGCCCAAGCCCCAGCCTGGCGTACAGTAGGTGACTGACTGAAGAGGCCACCAGTGCACACTCTCTCAGACCCTAGGAACCTTGGTTACCAGCAGGGACATCTGGGAAGATGGGGGAGAAGGGGGGGGGGGCATTGGCAGGGGGTAGGTATGAGAGGGAGACTTACTGCTTACTATCAGAGTTTTTTAAGTATATATTCTTAAAAAAAATTAAAGAAAACTCTTTAAATATGTAAGCCCAGAGGAGGAATGAACTTAGAAAACTACGGGAAGAGCTGGTCCCTGGGAGGAGGCGGCCGGCCCAGTGCCCCAGGTGAGAAAGGGAGGCAGGGGAGGGCTGTATCTGGAGGAAAAGGCCAGAGAGAGAGAGAGAGAGAGAGAGAGAGCCAGAGCGCACTCGAGGGCAAGTGGAGGGCTGATGCATGCCACCATGGACCACGTAGCGCCCGCGTGGCTGCTGCAGGTGGGGGTGGGGGCCCTCATCCTGTGCGCTCTGGGTGTTCTTTTTTATGCTCGGACCTTTTATAACCTTTATTTTCTTTTTGCTCAGCGCCATGGGCTCTATTTTCATCTTGAGAAAGGGCCATTTGAACCCCTCTGTTCTTAGGGGAGTCAAAGAAATGTATGGAAACTTTTCAAAAATCATTTTATTGGGGGCTCTTGTAACAATCCTACATCTACGGAATCAAGCATATTTGTATTTATGTTGCCATCATCCTTTTCAAAACATTTTCTTTCTACTTGAGCCCTTGGTATCAGCTCCTCTTTTTTCCTCTCCCTCTCCCACCCTGGTGACCCCTTGATAATTTATAAATTATTTTTATTGTCCTATTGTACCCTGTCTGCTGTCTTCCTTCACCGCGCTTCTGTTGTTCGTCCCTTGGGGGTGGCTGTTTGTTCTGACGGGCTGAGCTGTGGCCAGCCCGAGGGACCAGAGGGGCCACTCCGAGGAGGCCTTTCTCCGGCAGCTGTGAGCTGGGCCTGCCTCCTTCTGTGAAGTGCACAGCTGCCAACAGCTCAGCACTTTCTCCAAGTCCTTAGGGAAGGAGCTGCCCAAACCAGGGCAAGGGTCTGGTCCCTACAGGTTCCTATGCTAAGGCCCAGGGCCTCACAGAAGATACCAGCCAAGCTGGACCTGCCCCACCCAGACTGTGAGGAAGCTGGCCTTTCTGCGGTACCCCCATCCCAGTGAGTGAGACCTGGCTTTCAGAACAAGCTCCTTCTCCCTGCTCTGCACCCCAGCTCCCAAGACCCTCCCAGGGTTGGGTTCCTGCCCCAACCCCTATTCAAACATCTGGTACTTTTGACTTCAAAGCCTATTTATTAGACACATAGTTCAGTGATGCTCAGACAGACTTGGGGCAGAGCGAAGCAGCCCACTGCTGGTATGGAGTGGCTACGGCTAGGCTGGTGGGCTGACTGTGCCAGGGTGGGAGGAGCTCCAGGTCTGGCTGCAATCTTACTGGGGTCCTCGCCAGAAGGCCAAGCCCCTGCCCAGCCGAACAGAGGTGGCCCCATGAGAAGGCAGACCTGACAGACCGTCCAGTTCAAAGCAGAAGCCACACTTCACTGTCCTGCTGTGTGAGCCATCCTCGGTCAAGCACAGCTGTGGTTCGGGTTGGGTGGGGTGCTGAGGAGACGCGCAGGCTGAGAGGGGGCTCTGCCACAGAGCCTGCAACCACTGTGCCATCTGAGGGAAGCTAGCCAGGAAGCGGGGGAGAGAGGGAGGGTGCCACTGGTGATCCAGCAGCTATCTGATGCAGCAGCAGCCGAGGATGAAGGCCATGCCCGTCAGGGTCCGCCGCAGGCCCTCCCACCCTGTGGCCACCTTCCTGACAGGCACTGGCAGCTCAGCATCTCGCAGGACCCCTCCGAGGGGGCAGGGCTGGGCCTGGGCTAGGGGCATGTAGGCAGTGGCTCTTCAGGTGGGGTGGGTGCTGCAGGCGCGCCTTTATCAGCAGTGCCCCACCCCCCCAGGCCTCATGACTGGAGATGGAGCTCAGGGTCTAGCAAAGGTTCCCCGCGGCCTGAGAAAAGGCTGAGTCAGGCTCGAGCAGGGGCGGGTGGGGTCACTCACAGGGAGGGCCTTGCCCCTTCTGCCTTTTATCCTGGACAGCCAGGCCAGCTCAGTGTCCCCATTCCCAGCCCAGGCCTTGATAACCCGGTGCCCTGCCTGGCTGTCCTTGCTCTGTGCTGGGCAGGGCTCTCAGCTCCAGTCCTCCGGTGCACTCCCACAGAGCCTCCCTGGAGACCCCTCAGGGAGCACTGGTCCTCACTTTAGTGCCTCCCAGTGAGCAGGGTCTGTCCCACTTCTTGGAAGCAAGACGCAGTTGGAGCCAGCACAGTGCGAGGCACAGTTTATTGGCAGGTCCCACCCAGGACCTTCCCTCCCTCCGGAAGTGGGCAGTGGCGGGCAGGACGTCACAGACGGGAGTTCCGTTCCTCCTCCTCATTTTCCAGCTGGTAGGCTGGGCGGTAGGTAGCCTGTCCTCCGGGGCTCAGGCACTTCAGGGCTGGGTTCTGCCTGGTGTTCTCCGGGCTTCCCAGCGATGTGTAACTGGGGCGGGAGGGAGGGGAGGCCGAGTCTGTGTGTGTGGCTTCCCCCACCTCCTCCCACTGCCCACCCACCCCTTCTCTTCCCCGCACACCCTTACCCCCGGTCATACAGGATACAGTATGGGACAAACAGCTGGCGCAGAAACTCCCAGATGTCTCTGAAGGTCCAGTCCTGGGAAGTCAGAGGAACACAGAAAGCTCTCCAATCCCGCCTCCCCTCTCCTGCCTCTGCCCTACTGGGTCCTGGCTAAGGTTCCCTTGGCCTCTGGAGAGGGTTGTTGGCCTGGCTCTTGGCTATTCCCTGCCCAGGGTAGGCTAAGCAAGAGGGAGAGAGTGTCTTCACACTCCTCTTTCCAATCTTCCCTCCACAATGGCCTCACAGCTCCAGGCCGGAGGGGCCCTGTGGAAGGAAGGCAGTGCTGCCTACCAGAACTGTCTCCCACCAGGGAGCTGCCTGTCTGCTGTCCAACACGGCAGCCACCCTGGAAACAGAAAGATTGGACTTTTCATTGTATTTAATCTTTAAAAATTGAGACGGAATTCTACAGCTCACCTCTTCAGAGTGTACGGTTCACTGGTCTTCAGACATTTGTATTGAGGTTTAATGAATGAAAACATAAGTATGTGTAGCTATTTCCGTATGTAGCTAGCGGCAGCCACCCTAAGCCTCACAATAAACAAATATATAAATAGTTAGTAGCAACCACCCAAATCCTTACAACCGGACCAACAGGTAACGTCAGAGTAAGTGGAGAAAAGAGGGAGGTTGCCGAGGGTTTTGTCTGGCTTGGATCCCCCATGAGTGCTCGTGGGAGCAGCTGTCCAGAGATCAAAAGACTCACTGCACTGGGTCATTCTGCTGCACGGGCCTCTTCGTTGTGAGAAGCAAGGGTGTCCCTTTGAGGGGACCCAGGCCATGATGTGTTCGGTCGAACCATGCACCATGTGAAAGTGGGACACTGAAGAGAGAGCTGCATTTGAACCACAGTGCTGGCAAGGACGACCTGAGGTCCCATGGGCTGCTCCCCGAGCAAACACACCCATGGACTTGGGAGAGGGACTGCCAGAGGGCTCCTGAGAGGCAAGGAGGCAGGACTGTCTCCTAGACCCTAGACATGTTGGCACGAGAGACCAGTGCCCGGAGAAGGCCATCGTGCGTGCCAAGACAGAGGGGCAGTGAAACAGGAAGGCCCTCGATGACAAGGGTTGACACAGTGGCTGGCAACAAGGGGCTCACACCCAAGAACAACTGAGGACGGCGCAGGGCTGGGTGGTGTTCTGTTCTGTTGCACACAGGGTGGGCTGCACAGCACCCCACCACCATGGCAACACAGGTCTGCCCCACTGCTCTGTCCACTATGGAGGGCACAGCGCCTGCCGCTGGGCTGTTAGCTGCTGCTGGCTCATGGCAGCCCCTGTGACAGCCTGGAGCTGCTCGCAGGGTATCCTGGGCCCACAAGTCTACAGATGCAAATGACCAGGCCCTGCTCCTGCCGCACAGCGGGGTGAGCTTGAACCCAAAACGCATTCAGTTAGCAGCTGAGTGCTTCACCCTGGTGTGTCCAGAGCTCAATAAACATGGTCAAAGACAGAATGGACAGTGAACACTGCTTCCCTTGGACGACGGGACCCCATCCTTGTCCCTGAAGCCCCAGTCTCCAGCCCTGTCACCTTCAGGGAGTCAAGGTGCAAAGATGACTGTCATGATGTCCCCGGGAACCCTGGTTAGAGGCCATGCACCCCCCAATTACCAGCAGAGGGTTGACACGCATGAATGTAGGCCAGCCTGCATCGGTGGGGCTGAAGGCGCAGAGGCTGCATGAGTAGGGGTCCGTGCGGCGGGTGCCCATCAGGACGGCCTCCAGCTGGGGGTGCTGGGCCTGCAGCTCACACAGGGCCTTCTTCATAGCACCCTGTGCCTCCAGCACCTGCAGACCGTACCTGGGCAGGGAGGCGAGGAGGCGTGAGGCGTGGGCCCCGCGGAGCCCCTGACCATCAGGGCACAGCCCGGGCCGCTGATACCTGGTGATGGTGTCCTGGAGGAACCGCTCCAGCTCGGGGAAAGGGGAGATGTTGCGGATGTACAGGATCTGGAGGGGTTTGTGGGCACCCGGGCATTTCCTGGCAGGGAGGAGGAGAATCCACAGGTTTGCCTCTGTGGTCAGGAAGTGGCTCTCACACTGTGCTCAGGACACTGGTGCGGACGGAGCAGCCTCTCTTCTCCTCAGCCGTGGCCTCTCCGTGCACCGGAACCCACTTTCTCTGGGGAGCCCACTCTGACCTCTCACCTTTGAGCACACCTCTCCAACAGGGCTGGAGTTTCCTGTAGGGAAGGCTGGGGCGGGGGTGGGAGGAGGGGCACTCCACACACCTACCCAGGGCCAGACACGTGTCACATGCTCCATAAATAAGGTGGGAGAAGGGGACTCAGAAGTCACTAAGTGGCTAAGACGTCCCGGACACTCCCCTCCTCCCTGCTTCCAGGGATGGGGGACAGAGAAGTAGGCTGACCAGGCGTCCCTGGGGCCTCTCCTCCCTGGGTGCAGGCTTACCTCTGCACAGCTGCATGGAAAAGGTGCAGGAGGGCGGTGCCGTCCTTGCCCCCATTGAAGCCCACGCAGAGCTGGGGGAGGCTGTACTGAGCCAGGGCCTTCTCGATGATCTGCAGGGCACCTGCCACCTTTTGTCCCAGAGGAGACCCTGCCAGGTGGGCAGGGAGGAGGGCGTCACACAGATGTGCACGGCCATCAAAGGGGGGCATGTCACCTTCCCGGGGTAGTGCTCCCAGGATAGCATCCGGTCTGGACTCCTTCCAGAGGCCCTCTAGGCCCTGCGGAGTTGGCTCCTGTCTGCCTTCAGCCCCATCTCTCCTCACCTCACTCGTGTCCGCCCTCCGTGGCCTGCCCCGTCCTGGTTCCCTCCCGTTCCTCTAACCGCCTGCCGCCCGCCTTGCGGTTTGACCAGCCACTCCCCCTTGTCCCTCAGCTTGTGTCACTGCCCAGAGGAGCCTCCTCTGACCCCAGATCGGGGCTGAGTGCTCCCTGCATGGCACCCCCTCGTCATGGCGTTCACATGATGGCCTGTGTGACGTCTACCTTTCCTGTTAAACTCTTGGCTGGCGTGGGCGACACTTGTCCTGGCAAATATCTCCTAATGCCCAGCTTGGCCAACAGCCACAGGAAGAATGAGTGAAGCAAGGGCAGCTACCTTTGTTGACCCTCCTGGATCTATGGGACACCCTGAGGGCCCTGGCACCCCTGAGACCCCGAAAGGGGGCTGGGGGCAGAACCGGTAGAACTGCTGCTACAGGGGGGGTACCCCTACCTGAGTTCTGAAGTTCGTACACCGCCTCGCTGGCCTGCTCCACAGCGTTGGGCATGTAGGGGACCAGGGCCCCCTGGGGCAGATGGGCTGTCAGGTAGGCCAGAGCTTCCTCCAAGGGGCCTTCCTCCTTCGAGTCCAGGGTCAGCCTCACCTTATAGTAGTTGTTACTCCAGTCAGGGTAGGAGCCTAGGCCGATCTTGGGCCCAAAGTGGGCCTGGGCCTCAGCCAGGATGGGAGCGATGGAGGCCTCGTCGGAAGCCACGTACAGCTCCCGCAAGTGGAACTGCACGGCCCTGTTTTGGAAGAGTCCTTGCAGGCCCTCCAGCGCCCGCTGCAGCAGCTCCGGGATGCCGGGGAAGAGGTAGACGTTTTGGACAGAGACCAGGGGGAAGCGGAAGGGGCGGCCGGTGTGAGGGTCTGTGCCGTAGTGCAGGCGGGCAGAGGCGGGCACCATGGACAGCTTCTCCAGGCCCTCCCGCCCAAAGGCCCTGATGGCGGCCTCAAGCTCAGGATGGGGCCGGAGCTCTTCGCCGAAGGCCAGCGCCACGGCCTCTAAGGTCACGTCGTCATGGGTGGGGCCGATGCCGCCCGCCGTGAGGACATGGGTGAACTGGCCGGAGAAAGAGGCGACCTCGGCCGCGATGGCGGCCACCTCGTCGGGTACGACAGAGACCTGGCGCACCTGGACCCCCAGGGAGCGCAGTGTCCGGCACAGGAAGTAGGTGTTGGTGTCCTGCGTGTGGCCCTAGGGGGAAGGGGAGGAGAGGAGAGGGTCACTGCCGTGAGGATGAGCGAGGGGGGGGGGATGACAGCACCCCATGAGGCGTGTTCTGCTCTTTGGGGGGGACACTGCCTCAAGCTGCCAGGAGCCTGGGCCGAGTATAACACAGGCAACCCCATTTGGGCCTGCATCCATCTCCCTCGTCTCTGGCCTCAGCTGTGCTTCTAGGCCAGAGGTTCTCAATCCTCCTGAGGCTGCCACCCTTTCAGACAGTCCCTCATGTGGTGGGACCCCCCCAACCGTGAAATTATTTTCGTTGGTACTTCGTCACTGTCATTTTGCTCCTGTGATGAATCGGGCGGCCCCTGTGACAGGTTCATTTGACCCCCAAAGGGGTCACGACCCACAGGTTGAGAACCACTGCTCTAGGCTGAGTGTGCGATTCTGCAGTCCCTGGGTGGTGTCATCGGCCCAGTGCTGGACTGGCTGAAAGGGAGGCTCTTTTTGAACTCACCTACAGGCATCCTGGCAGCTCAGAGTTTGCACGGCTGACTGTAAGGTTGGCAGTGCAAACCACCCAGCTGCTTCGCAGGAAACATAGGAGGCTGTCTGCCCTGTTAAGGACTCACAGCCTCAGAAACCGTACAGAGAGTTGCTAAGGGCTGGAATCAATGTCCATAGTGGTGGGTTTCGGGCCGACAGGTGTCACTCATTTACTCACTCACTGCCACCGAGTCGATCCAACCTCAGGGTAGACTGTGACTCTTTATGGGCGTAGAAAGGCCGGTCTTTCTCCCACAGAGTGGCTGGTGGTTTCAAACTGCTGACCCCACTGGGAGCGGCCCAGCTGGTGGCCGCTAGGTCACCAGGGCTCCTTGTCTGGGAAGACAGGTCTAGCAAGCTGCTTCCAGAAGGTTACAGCATGTAAACTACCCTGCACTCTGATCATCAGCAACGAACAAAGGAGGCCTGGCCAGGCCGTGTTTGCACAGCGCTGGGCTAGAAAGCCTAGGGTCGCAGTTGGAGACCACCAGCCCCTCCGCTGGAATAAGATGTGGCGCTCTACTCCCCTACAGACTACCCGCAAAGGGGCTTCCACTCTGCCCCACAGGGAGTTAGGAGTCCAGTGGACTCAATGACAGAAACCCTATGGCTGGTTTCGGGAACAACAGTCTGGGTGACGGGTCCTCTGCCTTCCCATGCCCCTGGCTTAGTCTCTTTGGTTAATGGTATCTCTGGGGATGACCGCTCACAGCACCCCAGGCACCCCCCACTGTCCTCACCGGACGAGGCATGGTGCTCACCCGGTCAAGTCTACCTCAGAAGTTCTCCCCATCTGCTCTCTTCTCTGTCCCCACTGCCACCAAGCAGGCCCTTGGCACCTTTCACCTGGACAGTGGCGACAGCCTCTTGGCCAGGCTCCCAGCCTCCAGCTTCAGTGCTCTGTCCAGGGCCTCCTGAGTAACCTTCCCAGTGCATCAGGTGGTGCCCTTGCTCCTGGACTCAACAGGCACTTGCTGTTTCCAACTGTATACAGAATCAAGTTCATGTTCCCCTTTGGAGTACCCGGGCGGCCTCTCTGGTGGCACGCGCATCCAGTCTTCTCTTCTGGGACTCTTGCCTACTTTTCTACAGTGGGGTTAGTGGGTACATTGTGTGTTCTAGAGTTTGGGAGAATCCAGTTGGAACTCCACCTCACTCCTTCCTAGCTGTGTAACCACAGGCAGGTTTCTCAACTGCTCTGAGCCTCGGTTTTATAAGCTAGGATTCAGATTTGTAATAAAACTATAATCTTGTTAATAACATCATGCAAGTGATGTTGTAAGCATCTTGCCAGGCCCTGTTAATGCAAAACTGCCAATCTCCAGCCATCAGTGAATGCTGGCTCATAGCAACCCTACAGACCAAGATAGGGCTGGCCCTGTGTTGCCAAGGCTATGAATCTCCGGGAGCGGCTGCTTCTTCGTTCTCCCAAGGTTAGAACCACCAGCCTTGTGGTTAGCAGCGCAATCCACTATGCCATTAGGGTTTCTCAAGCCCTGTTAAGTCTCAAGAAATATACAAAAATCGAATTGAACCCACTGTCATTGATCTGAACGCAGAGACAGAGTAGCGCTGCTTCCTAGGTTTTCCCAGACAAGCAGACTCCTCCTCTTTTTCTCCCCTGGAATGTCGGGTAGGGGGTGAGGGTGGGTGGGTCTTAGGACTACTAATCTTTTGATTAGCAACTGGGCACTTTAGCCACCGTACCACCAGGGCTCCCTACTCAATCAATAGGGTCACTCTGATTCCTAAAAGCGCCCCCTGTTGGGGTCGTGGGTTCCGCACCGGGCTGCTAGCCACGGACTTGGCAGTTCGACTCCACCAAGAGCTCCTATAACGACTCACTGCCTTGGAAACCCACAAGGGCAGGGCTCCTTTGTCCAGAGTCGCCGTGAGTCTGAATGGACTCGATGACCGTGAGTTCGGATGGTTTGTTTGCTGGTTTCTGTGAGACAGGGGTTGAATACTTGCCCGCTAAGTGAAAAGGTTGGGGCTGAAACCCAGCCCGCTGCTCTGCGGGAGAAAGGCCTGGGTGTCTGCCTCGTAAAGATGCGCAGCCTGCTAGGAAAGCACAAGGGGCAGTCCATGCTGCCCCACAGCGTTGCTGAGTCGGAGTTGACTCAGGGTAATGGCGTCGGTCCCGGTGACTATCATGGTGAATTTGAAGCCTAGTGAAGTTGGATTGCTTGTCTTTTGTTCTCTACAGGCCTTTGCGCTCTGGAAGTCCTCAGTCTTTCATTCTGATTGCCCCTCGTGAAGAACTTACTATCTGTTAACTCGGTCAAGTGGCATAGCATGTTCACAAAGGTAATGTTCTAGACCCCAGTTTGGTGAGAAGCGCCTAGGGTCTTAAATACTTGCAAGGAGCCTATGCGAGATACACCTATGGGTTTCTCTTCATCTAGAGGAAGAGAATGCAAGCGCCCAAATGCAAGAAAGGGGTCGACAGGACCACAAGTTGGCACAAACCATGGCCTCTCGGAGCCCGAGACCGGAAGAACTAGAGGGTACCTGGCTACCACTATAGACTGTTCTGCCAGGGACACACTTGGAGGTTAGGATGGGAAGTCCATGTAGAACAAAACTCAATTTCATTAAAAAGACCAGACTCACTGGGCTGACAGATGATGGCTCCAAAAGAACCCCTTTCACCTTCAACTGCCCTGGAGGCAACCCTGCTGCCACCAATAGATGGGGCTCTAAAATAAACAGTATCCCCCGTGAGAAGGTGTTCCTTAAATAATGAACCAACCGAGACCAAATGATTGCCATTCACCCCAAACAAAGACGGAGAAGGCAAGGCCAGGAAGGGAAGCGAGATCAATGGAAATAATGAGACTATACTGACACATTATGAGAACTGTAACCAATGTCACAGAACAATTTGTATGGAAAGTGTTCAGTGGGAGCCAGTTCACTATGTAAACATTCACCAGAAAAACAATAAAGCATTGGGGGTAAACCCAACAACAAAAGAACCCGCCACCTTGAAAGAAAGCCCCAACTCCTGACCCGGAGGCCATGACCTCTCTCTAGTAAGACTGCTAGGGCCACTCTGTACCGTGTGTCCCTTGTGGACTTGTCTCATGGAGCCCTATGCTGGTGTGCTGCCTCGTTTTCCAAACCAGGTGGACAGAATTCTTCAGTGCACGCTTCATGCATCTGTACCTTCCCTAGACCTGCTTCCCTGTCATTCACGGGGTTGGAGAAACAGCCATAGCTTGGCAGACGTGGGGACTTGCTACAAGGTTTTGACCGAGTCATTGAGGGCAAAGGTCATGTTTTCTTCAACATGTAGGACTCACCCAGAATCAGACTGCAGCCAAGGGACTCCCACGCTGGATCACCTGCCCTCTGCACGCAAGTTGTCAGGCAGGGTGCTCAGGGCATGAAAATACTACCACCGCCGCCGCCACCACCACCGCCCCCCACCTCTTCTGCCGGAAACACACCTTGAGGATCTCATCTCCGACGATGATGATGCCGGCTGTCACGCTGCGCCCGGGGGGAGGCTCGGGGGCCCTAGAGGCCATGGTCCTGCTTTCTCTTCCCCTCTGCCAGGCCCTCCAGTGGGCACCCAGACCCCGAGACAGGGGTCGTAAACATAAGGATCCCGCCAGACCTACAGGACACTGGGGGCCATAGACTGGCAACAGGGGATCCTGGGTGGAGCAAACCTGGAGCCAGAGAAGGACAGGTTGGGAAAACAGGAGTGCACGTTCCTTTCAGGCTTCCTTTGTACCTTACCTTGACAAGTGACTCTTTTAACCCTGGCTCTTTGGTAAGCGTGTTCTCAGCTCATGCTCCTTTAAATACGCCCTCCAAACCTGCTTCTAGTCTCTTTAAAAAGACCTGCTTTCCCGAGCAGCTACCCCTTTAAATAGATGTCTTTTTTTTATGCCGAGCCTGTCACTTTCAAGGGCCTGCACTGTCTCAGGTGCCTGCACCTTTAAATGTCTCTTCTCTCGGGGCACCTGCCCCTTTAAGTGGCTACCCTTCCGTAGGTATTTAAATACAACCCCCCTCCCCCGCCGACCCTAACGCGACCCAGTCGCCTTCTCCTCCAGGCGCTGCACCCTTTCTAGCCCGGAATCGCCTCTCCTCCCATCAGGCTCCAGACTACAGAACTCTTCCAGGGTCTCACCTGCCTCTTTTGCTCCTTAGCCAGACCTTGCCTTTCCTCATGTCCCCAGGGAGTTTCCGTACTCAGAGTCCCGCCTTAGGCTCACACCTGCTTTATACTAATTGGCTACTTTGACAGTTACTCAGAGGCTGTCAGGATTCCCATTGGTGAAGTCGATTGTCGCTCGTGGGCTTTAGCCAGTGGGCGGGAACAATGTCGAGTTAGAACCACGTGGCCCCGCCTTATCCGGAAGTACAGGGGCGGGGCCTAGAGGTTCTGGGCAGAGAAAGCTGCTGTGGTGGGTCGTGCCCTAAGGACCTTGGGTACAGGCATCCCCCGTTAATTGAAAGCTCTTTCACCACTTCGCTTTTATAAAAGACCTACCTTAGTGCCGGTTTTCAGACCATAAGGAATTTGAACAGGGTTCTTGCTTTTATGAACAAAGGGTGAGCTAGTGTTCAGTGTTTTGCAGACAATCATTAACGGGGCAGCACGCACTAGAGCAGGCAAAGTGGTGTTACCCAGTTCCTTTCCTGGATTACTTTCGACATACATTATTTCTACTCTATGTACGTGGTGTGAGGGGTGTGTGGGTTCCGCAGTGAACTGCTAACCAGAGTCAGCAGGTCAACCCTTGGGAGAAAGACAAGGCTTTCTGCATCCCACGACTTACACCTCCAAAACCTAAAGGGCAGTCTCCTCTGCCCTTGTGTCTCTCTGGTCCAATCAACTCGATGGCAGTGAGTTTGGGGTTTGACTTATATAGATGGTGTATTACAATATCCTGCTGTTGTTATTCCGTGTTAATGGCAGTTTAGGTTTTGTGCATTCTCTGGTGTGGTTTAGTAGTTGGTTTTCTGGGTCTGGACAACCAAAATTGTTTACAATATAAAGAAAGGGGAATTGCTTCTTTACACCCCTTTGGCTAAGGAAACGTTTCATGGAGCCACTGTATTTGGGATCAGGGATGGAGATGGGCCCGTCTTTCCTTCCAGTGCTGGAGTCACAGGGAGGCTTCTCTGACCTCCATCTGGCACTCGTTTGTTTGCACATGCTGGAGTTCTGGTGGTGAAGTGCTTACAGGACCACTGTGATTCTGCAGAGAGAGACTGGGCTTCCTACTCCCGTAAACACTGACAGTGTTGGAAACCCACAGCGGGTCGTTATGAGTCAGCATCGACTCCGTGGCTGTGAGTTTAGATGCTGTTTTTATTAGCCATGAGCAATTCCAGGCTTTGGAGTGAAGGGCTGAATCTGGTGTCAGAAGGAAGCTGATGGGGTAGGGACATCTTGGAGTAGGTGAGTTTTCATTTGGGTCTAGTATTAATGATAAAAATGTTTAAACCTCTTTGACAGGAAAAACTCTAAAATCTTCTCTCCCCCTCCCCGCCCCTAAATTACTCCAGGAGTGCTTAGTTTAACCTCACCGTTCCCCATCATTGGTCTTGTAGGCACACCACGTGCGGCCGGAAGTAGGGAATGCCTTTTGTGTCTACTCTGTGTTCTCCTATCAACCCCTATGTTGGTTGCAACTGGTCTGAAAGTGCTTCTTAGACCTTACTATTCAGACCTGAAATATAGTTAACACAGAGATCTGATTCAAATTGTTTGGACTCAGATAAGCTTTTCACAGGCTCTGGATGCTGCTGGTGGATACCGAGTAGCAGCTCTATCCCAGCTCTGGCAACCTCAATGGGCCTCTGCGGAGGGAGGGGTGGTTTCAAACTAGCAACCTTCTGACTAGCAATGAGCACTCAAGGATTCCTTGAACAGTAAGAGTCTAAAATCCACTCAGTATTTGCCATGCTACCTGGCCACACCTGGTCTTGTTTTATATTCCTAAAAGTCCTAAGATATGCTGTAGATATAGATCCCTGAATGTGGGGAAGGAAGCATACAGAGGGTAAAGCTATGAAAACTTCTTGGACATAAGCACACACCTTGAGGGAATGAATTACAGGGCCCAGGAGCTCAGGATCATAGTCTGGGGACACCAAGGTCAATGGGCACAACACAGTCCACAAATGTTCCATGTACTATTTTGGTGAGTCAGGACCAGGGTCTTAAAAGCAGCCATCAAAGGTGCAACTATTGGTCTCTCCCTGTCGAAAGGAAAGAAGAATGTCATCAATAAGACACACGTGGAAACAATGGGATCACTAGATTAATGGATCGAGTGAGCATCAGTTTCTGCTACTCTGAGATCGGAAGAACTGAAGAACTTGAATGTGTTCTAGTTAGTAGATGGTGCCCAGCTCCCACTGCCAACCACTCTGTAAAGGATGACGTTAGAAGGTCTTGGATAGAGTGGGAGAAAAATGCAGGACGAAACTCAGAAATCATGAAAAGCCTGCCTGGGCTTACTGGTAGGATAGAGACTAGTGTAACCCCGGAGACTCTCTTAGCTAGCATTCAGGTCTGAAATGGAGCTCACCCCTCATGGTTCAATGGTCAGCCAAACACTAGACAGGTCTAAATTGGAAGAGTGACACACCCCTTAGGATAAGGAACCACTCGAGACCTAATAGGCTGCATTTACCTAGGGAGAGCGTTCAGAAGGGTTAGGAGAGGTGGTGGAATGGAAATTGGAAGCACAGGAAGGAAGCGGGATGAGTAATGGTAATTGTGGGAACTGCCATCCATGGCCTGAAAAATTGATTTGTGCTAAATTTTCACCTAATTCACAGTCAACAGTTTTTAAAGGAAAAAAAAAAAAATCCTCCGGATAGGATCAGACACATTTTACAGATGGGGAAAGGTTTGGAAAGGGGAAGAGATGCTGGAGCACTAACAGTGTCCAGACCATCCCCTCTGGTCTGGACAAGTGAAGGCTTTAAGCTTGAGCCAGAGTCACCTGAAGTGCTGGCTCACAAGTTTTGGGGCCAAGCCTCAGTCTGGTTCAGTCGATCTAGGGTGGAACCCAGACCTGCATTGCAAAAGAGACTATTGTGAACTTTATTATGGGATACTATGCTTGGTGGTCAGTAGAACTCTAATAGATAGCATTCCACAGGTCAATCATATCCAGCAGTATTGTACATTGCCACCACTATTAGTTTCAAAACATTCTTTTCCTTCTTGAACTCCTTGACGTCAGTTCCCTTTTAACTTCCCCTCCCCATTATTGTTTCCTTCTATTTTTTTTTTTTTGGGGGGCGGGGGGTTAGGTCTCCCAGGTTGAAGTTTTGTTGTGTATATTTTTTTCAAAATTGAATTTAAAAAATTACATGCGTACCAATTGAGTACGGGGAAGAAAATGTTCTAAAATTGATTGTGGTAAAGATTGTACAACTCTTTTATCAGACAAAGATCATTTGTAAACTGGATTATGCTAGATCAAACTTGTTCAGTTGACTCTCTTTTTTTTAAAGTCATTTTATTGGAGGCTCATACAACTCTTATCACAATCCATCCATCCATGGTGTAAAGCAGATTTGTACATTCGTTGCCCTCGTCATTCTGAAAACATTTGCTCTCCATGAGTTGACTCTGCTCTTGACCCAACCTGAATTTGTTCTAGGCCCAAGTATTTCTCGCTTGTTTCACGATAAAAATTTCTTCCCTGGCTGTTCAAATATTGATGGTGGTCCTTTCTTACTTGTTATTTTTATCTTTATATTATTATTACTTTATCCTTGTCATTTTATTTTTTGTTTTTTAGTGTTTCAGTTGAGTTTCCCAGTTTGTAAAGCACAGGAGTAGATGCATAGAGATAATAACCGAAGCAATGGCTTATTGGGGATGTGTCTGGTGGGGTGGTGGGGAGTGGGGGCAGTAGATAGAGAGGGTGAAGGGACGTGGGGAACAATGAATGCATGAGAGAACACTGGAACTGATTGTGATGATGTATACACAACTCTTCTTAAAAGTGATTTAACCATGGAAGTGTCTATGTGGTGATCACTGTATCAAGAAAACCACAGGGAGAAAAGAGAACCCAGACTTGACCACAAGTGACGGGGAAAGTGCTCGCGTCAGCAGCACATAGACCCAAGAAGAGAAGGGCAACGCGTTGTTGCACAGGGGCATTTAGTCTCTATCAATGGTGGTAGAGTAATTTGGAAAGGGATATCAATAATGGTTGTACAACAGAGCATAATCAATGGCATTGAATTATGCAAGTGGGAGTTGTGGAATTGGAGAGAGTTCTGATGTGTATATTTTTGCCACAATTAGAAAAAAAGGTACATGAATAACAATGACTACATGGAAGAAAATGTTCTAGAACTGATTGTGGTGATGATTGTACAACTCTTCTTGTTATGATTGAATTGTATGACATGTGGATGAAGTTCCAATAAAACTGTTTAAAAAAAAGCAACTTGCATTTCTAATACTTCTCCAGGTGATGTTGATTGCCCAGGGCCCACACTTTGGGAGAACTGCTTCTCTAGGAAGATGTGCATAGGAGATGGGGAGGGAGAACCATCGCAGTGCTAGCACCTTTAAAGGCAGTGGGGAAGATAATAATTGGTGAAAAGTTTTCTTCAACTGATACAGCCCATAATTGTTTTCTCAAAGTTCAGTGCTCAGGTCTGTAAAAAAGCACGGCTTGCCCAGTTGCTAAGGAGCAGAATAGCTCCACAGGGCTCCCATGGCTGTGAGTTTACTGAAGGAAATCGGCAAACAGATCAGCAAGAACCTATGGGTTAACTGTGACCATCCATTTTTGTTTGGGCCACTCCGGGGTTTCACTTACATATGAATGCTTCAAATACCTACATTCAAGCCACACCACAGACCAACAATCTCTAGCCCACCCCCCCCTACCCACCAAACTCACTGCCACCAGTTGATGCAAACTCAGTGACCCTCCAGGACAGGAGAACTGCCCTGTGAGTTTCCAAGACTAACTCTTCACTGGAATAGAAAGTCCTGTCTTTTCAGGAGCAGGTGGTGGTTTTGAACTGCTGACCTTGCAGATCGCAGTCCAGTGCGTATTCACTACACTTTCAGAGTTCCGTTCACAGATGATCCGAATGCCCCAAGAACCACTAAAGATAACCCCCAACCAAGCGCACGTTGAGTCTCCAGGTGTGCCCGCGTCCTTAGGCCACATGGGAGTTGAAGTACACTGGCAGCCTGGTTCCCAGGGCCCCCTTTGCCCTCATCCCAAACCAGAACCCTTGCCATCCAGCCCAGCTCAACTCATCAGGCCCCATCCAGGTCTTCTGAGGTTGCATTTCGTTTTGATAACAGTCAACCTCTTTCTCCCAACCTGAGTTCTGGGAGATTTGAGTGCCTGACCTTGTAGTTAGCAACTAAACGCTTAACCCACAGAGTCACCAGGCACCTCCCCCTCTGCTTTTATGTGCCCTTCAAACATTGGGGTCAGGCTAAGTAAAGGCAGCACGGTGACTGAGTTCAGGTGTTTCATAAGGTGACTGTCCCTATGTAACCTCTACCCTAGGGCGGCAATTACAAGTGAAATAGATTTTAGTAGATGTTTGACAGCAAGCCTACTCCAAGTAGACAAAAAATCAGCTACCTGAATGTTGAACTAAACCCTATTACCAGTGAAGAACTGAGCCTCGATATATGACTG